CTATACAATACAATACAATAAAATACAATACAATACAATAAAATACCATACAATATAATACAATACATTAAAATACAATACAATAAAATACAATACAATACAATACAATACAATAAAATACAATACAATACAATAAAATACAATACAATACAATACAATAAAATACAATACAATACAATACAATACAATAAAATACAATACAATACAATACAATACAATACAATACTATACAATACAATACAATACAATACATGTTTGTAAATCTGTATACATTCTCAAGTTGTGTATGTATGTAATATGTATGTGTGTGTGTGCGCGTATCTGTATACATTTTCGAGTTATGTGTGTATGTATTTATGTATGTATGTATGTGTGTGTATATATATATGTGTGTGTGTATGTGAGTGTATGTATGTATGTATGTATATATGTATGAGTACATGTTATATATGTTATATGAATGTACGTATATACGTATATGTACAATAATTATATCTATGTATTGATGTTTTTATGATAGATATATCTATATCTAATATTACATGTATTTGTATACACACATTATTTTCAAATTGGAATATGTATATACAAATAAATTTGTGTATTTTTAAAGTTTGTATAATATAAAAAACTTGTGACTGCAAGCGGTACTTGTTTGCAATGCTATGCTGTGCAATGGCGAGTCGTGAAGTGATTTGTGCTTACCTGCTTGTCACTCAACAATACGCTCTACTAGTCGTAGGGAAAGTAGTTTTCATTGAATATTATCATCTTGTAATGCAACGTTTAACGTGTATTTTAATTTAACCTCTACATTTTTATCCGTTATTCATCAATTCACAAAATTTCCAATCCCAAAATTTTTGTTTTTCACCGAATCTACAGACTGGATCCACTGCCTGACTGGATTCTCGATTCCAGAATTTTCGTTTCCATGTTTCCTTCTTCTTCTTTCCTTCTACACGGATGTGTGCAACATATGAATCCTTCTCTCTAGCGAAAATATTTTTCTGCAATTTTCTTAACTTCCAACTTCCTTAATAGATTACTAATGCTAATTGGCACATAAAAAATAACACATTTTTATTCAAACATATTGATTATCGTATAGTTCAGCGATATGATACACCGTGTGATGTCTTTCTATAAAATTACGTTAATTTAGTGTGAACGACATTCGATAAAAAGCTGTCTTTCATTGATGACTATGTGGATGTGTGTGTGTGTGTGTGTGTGTGTGTGTGTGTGTGTGTGTGTGGTGCTTGCCACGCAAATGTGTGTGTACATACAATAGGCAACTCACATTAAACATGCAAGCATGTGACGTAAGTTTTCCATTTATCTACCTATTCATTTGTAGCAGATCATACACAAAGGTTCTACAGTTCAGTTCAACGCTCGCAATTATTTTTTAACGCTGACATTAATTTTTTTTTCAATTTTTAAAAAGTAAATTTTTATTTTGCGATATATTTAATAAGTAGCGAATTCAAATACTTAAAATCAATCAATGGCGCGTAGTAACAGACATTTATTTAATGAATCAAAATGTCAAAGACACCTACCCAAATAAATTTTCAGAGCACCGAATATAAATTAAGTTGTACTAAACAATGAGAATATTATTATTTCAGGTTCAATAGTTTATTTAAGAAGAGCTACGTGTGATTCATCAAACGGTGCAACGTGAATGACTTATTGGCACGTAGTAAATATTTCATTCATGTCTCGATGATTTTGTGTTTGGTACGAGACACTTGTGCCCATGATTTCAGTCAATCATTGAAACCAAATGCATTCGATTACGATATTCCATGTTATGCTCCTCCATTAATGATCGTCAAAACAGGCTATCTCAGTTTAGCGGGCAATGTATGCAGTTGAACACGTGCGATACAATGAATCTCACACAACTTTACGATGCGACGTATAGGAATGTGTTTGTATTTGTGTTTGTAACCGGGTCAATGCAACACAGATCCGAACCTGGTGTTTTCACCACTAAACTATAAGGTAGACAGGCAAAATCTCATGTATTTATCTTATGGCTTATCTTATTTTTATCAACGTAAGAGCAAATTCTCTTAAATGTAACCCTTTTTTAGACAGTTGTTTTATAATTTAAAGTTACAGTAGTGTGCATTTGGAATAAACTTATTAGTACGAACTTCTGTGAAAAAAAACTCTAGAAATATATGTGTCGCAATTAGCAAAAATTAATGAAATGAAATGTTGTATTGCAATGCTACAACATGATCTTATTTGCATTAATCATCTTCTCATATTAATACTCACTTCTTCATCAGTTTGGCACAACAAACATGATTATATACAGTTTTAACCAAATTATTCAAACAGAGTTTTATTAATCACATAATAAAAAATTTTCAAATTTTCACCAGAAATGACATGAAATGATCACAAACCCTAACTTTTAAGCTTCTTGAATGAATGTCACAGCAATGAAATAAATTTTCTCTTCCAAACTAATTTTTCCGTCTCTTTAAGTTTAACTCCAAACAAAATTCAATAATTTTTTATTTCTAAATAGTGAACTAAACTTTCAGCAAAATTTTTAAAAGCCAAATAAATATCTAGCATTCATTAAGACTAGGTTATAACTTCTACAACTTATATCGAAGCAAGAGGTCGCAGCAAGCCACTGCATGTTCATCATGTATCCAACTAATTAATTCTCGCAGCAAGACGTCAGAAGTTCATAGAATGATCCTTCCAAGCGTTCGAACAATGCACATGCACAGTTGGACGCGATTGTTAAACAATCATACAGTCTTTGCGAACAAAACTGTTACGAATGCACTGCTACTGAATGGTAAGTAGTTCATAATTAAAATACGCTTAATAGTTAGAGGTTCATGTGTGTATGTCATGTTTATTCATTAATGATACGCTGTGCACTTGACTTGTTCGTGCAGTGCTGCATAATTTAGAATTATTTCCACATTATGCCTCGTACGACCGTTGTTATCGCAGTTATACCGACAAAATATTTATGATGGAGAAGTGGCTGGGGTGGAGGGCTTTCTTGTTTTTTCTACCCAGTTCTCTATAGATCTAACTTCAGAGTGCTGCGATCGAAAGAACCACGTCGCTAAACAAATTTCAAAACAGTTGGAATTTATTTCTTTTATGTTTTTTATTTTTAAACTGAATTATTTTTCAATAGATCTATCGTTCTCAAAGTTCTTGTTTTTAGCTGAATATCACTCTTTTCAGAAGGATAATTTCGTCTTGTGATGAGGGAATGATTTTGAAATTCTGAAGCTTATTTTTGCTATTTCCTGTAATTCCTGTGTTCATTCCCATTTTGGTGGGGATGATTTTCAAAATAATTCTTACGTCAATGAACATTTTTGCTAATCCTCTTAACTTCACTACTCCTTTTTACAGAGGATCTTCAATAGTCCCCTCTCTCATGGCCTGGTGTGGTTTTGGTGATGCATCTTCCAGGACCCACCACTGCTTGTAATATGGTGAAAGTTCGCATGTACTGATCCCGTACTGATGTTGAGGTTTCATTGAATAAACTTATTTTGAAAAACGCAATTTATGGCTTTGATGATAAGTAATAAGTGGAAAATTGTTTATGCTGTTCATCATTGACCTGAATTAAATTGATGCTAGGCGTTAAAATGAAGAAATAAATCAGAGTCAACTGACGTCAATGTTAACCTATCCACTGTTTACCGTTTAATCAATCTAAAAATAATGGAGGTCCAAGCAGTTTGAACTTGTTCGGCTCATAAAATAAAATTTTCTGCTCTTTTGAGAGCATTGGGCACAATCAAAGCAAACGATAAATTAGTAATGAGAAGTTTATGTGGAAAATATATTTGATCTAGTTTTTTAGTTAGTTTTTTTTTGGTGAAACTCAAAAATCAATGTAAAAATGGAATGAGCATAAAATTTGTTTAACGTTTTAAAACAAAAATTATTACAATATCAATATCCCGCCCAAAATTAAGGCTGACGCACCAACGGTGTCAAATATCAACTATGTTATTTTTTATTAAAGCAGTATTGATTGACTGAATGTGTTTGCTTATAAAACCGTTTTGAATGGAGTTAGGTCAAAAAAAATAAAGGCAATTCGCTTTGCTTCGCTTGACGTTCATAAGATATTATAAGAACGAAAATTCTAAAAAGTTTCATCAACCTATCATTTTAAATTTAACAAAATATCTCATTAATGGGAATTTTTGAACTGTCAACTTTGAAATGGTTATTTTATATGAAAATTATTTTTCAAACATATGAGTATCAATTTCATGGATTAACAAAAATAAAATAAATAAATGACTAGAGTGTTTCGTACACTCTGTATAAGCATGATAATGAAAAATAAAAGTTGCTAATATAAAACTTATTCACCAGTGCTATAAGTTGAATTTCAACATTTCAATGGAACAGCTATCAAATTCGAGCTGCTTAACTAAGTAGTTTTAGTGATTTAAATTTATCATCGTGTGGATTTCTTGGAAATGAAATGTCAGTCAATGTTAATTTTAAAAAGCTAAAAGCGCATTCTAAAATATTTAAAATGAAAATCCTTAGTTTTGTAATTATTGTAATCAAAACCAATCTTAGAGAACGACTTCAGCAGTAATTATTAACTTATGCATCACTAAACTTTCTCCATCCCTACCCTGAACAGAGGATAGTGCGGATTCGATGAGAATCTGTTGAAGATGGTCTCTAGGTGGGTTACCAACACTTCCCATGGGAGGAAGTTTTCCTCCTTGCTTATGTACATTGACAGGTCAAGAGCTGTTTTTAGGTTCACATGACCGGTGCTGGGGTGGCGAAGAAATTGTTATAAGTTGTTATTAATTTTCATTTTCTTACATTTAAAATAAGTTCCATACATGAAAGATTGTTTTACAAACAAACTTCAGCTTTGTTAGCTGGAAAGCAGCAAAACTGCTTTTTAAAATGTTTGAGCGAATTATTGCAAGGAGGTGTTAATAGTTAGAAATGCTTTTATTTTTATCGAATATCAGCTTTACGAAATTCTACCATCATCTTACCAGCTTATTCAGATACCTACACCTACATCAACAATTGCAAGACTACATTTTCTATAAATGATTTTGACTGTGATGCACGTGAGAAAGTGAAGAAAGGAGTCGTTATCGTAATGTTAAAGATGATGACGAAGACGGCGATGAAGGACATAAAAATATTCCAAATGTTATAACCCACGGCGCAGAAAAGGACGATACATAAACTTCAAAAGATTTGGAAAGATCAGTGCAAGGTCATCAACAGGGTTCACGTTCATAAAAGACAGGGGGCAAAAAGAAATGTTGTTTGTTTGTATAGGTTAATCCTTATTCGTTGGAAAGTCTAAGCGGGGGTGATGTTATATCCGCTGCAATAGCCAAAATGTTGTTTTGCAAGATGCGCTATCTAATTAATTTGAATTTCTTATTATCTTGATTCTATAATTCTATGTTTCCTTCGCTAATTATTTCTTAGAATCAGATATCTCTGTAACCTGCGATCGATTTTAGCAGGGCACGAGTTGAAATTGAAGTTAAGGTAGTGAGGTTGGAGTTGTTGGATTGTGGAGTTAAGTTACGCTGTGAATTACTGGCTATCGTGCGACATCGAGAATATTTTGAGATTAATAAATGATTAAGTGTTTTTATTTCTGATAGCATTCAAATAAACGTCCAAGCAAGTCTGTGTCTGAAGCAGTTGTGTTCATCTATCGAAAATCAGCGAACCTACTGAAGATCGAATAACCTGATGATCGTGCAAGTTAATATTATATGTGCTAATGTAGCCAGTTTTACCTTATCAAAAATGAAAAACATTGCAATATATGGCAGTTGAAATAACGACAATTATGCTCAATCATTCTTTGCAAATTGGATACCTGGCAAGTACAAATACATCATCAATCAAATTTCCTCTGTCGACTGCACTGAAGACCTTGAAGACGATGATTTAACAAATGTTGGTAGATTATTTGCTGGTATAAAATGAAAACTGGGACGGAATATTTTATGGAATCAATTAAAAAAATTTTATCACTAATTTATTAACAAAAATTAATTCCACATCTGTAGCAAGAACAACCACATCATCAGAGTTTGTTATAGAGAAAGTGCATACAGTGTGGTTTTGTTTGAGTTGACGTATGATGGCCAACCATCCTTCTTCATCGTAATTCACTCTGTAGAAACCTTGTTTGAAAATTTTACTTGACAATTTCAAGGGGTGATTTAAAATATTATTTCAATAGTATTATTGAAGATTTCCAAAAAATAGATCTAAACAATAAATATTTAAGTTATTATAATTACTCTTATTCACGGAAATAAAGTTTGTCTGTATCTACTGCCATCATCAAAACAGAGACTAATGTTTATTGGAAACTAATTAATGACAAAATTCAACAACATCGCAAAAAATATTTTAAAAGTGATTGTCATTATCACCAGGTTATTATAATTACTATTGCTGGTCATCGCCAGCATCATCATCATTGATGACATCATCGCATCATCATCATTCTATTAGTGTCATCATCATCATCATTATTATCTCACCACTCATTTCTGGATTTGCTTTGATCCAGGCAACATCTTCTTCCAATGCGAATTCCACTGTTGATAAAAAAATCAAATAATATTACTGCTAATAACAATGCTATTGCAATTTATTAGGCGCCAAACGCGCAGCTGCTTCCGAGAATTTTGGAGCCCCCAGAAGCAATTAAAAAGTTTTTGCCGCTTTTGAAGTTCGGTGGCAGGCTGTTGCAAATCTGTGTTGAAAACTGCGACTTGAGAATTTTGATCTAACTATGGAGATGTTAAGGAAATCGGACGAGGAAGAGCAGCAAATTTTATTATGTTCATGGTGATAAATAAGAAATTGTAGGTAGGCGGGTGAAATAGAATTCAAGATTTCGAAGGTAGGAGAGGCAATTTTATAAGCGATGCGTAATTGTACAGAGAACCAACGCAGTTTATTGAGAAGCTTTTATCATATAACGTATCCAACAAAATTGTCTGTATAGTTTAAGCAAAACGCAAACCAAACCGATCATGCGGCGTGCAATTGGAGCAATGTCGACAGTTAGAAAATTTCTTATGTCAGAAAAGTTCTTATGTGATAGTTGCATGATTTGAAAGTGCTGGAAACATGATCGTCAAACGTTTAGTGTCTCTTAGGTGTCACACCGAGCAAATACATGGAATTATCGATAATAAGATAGGAACCGGCGATGTTTAAGTGTGGTTAGTGTTGGAAATTAAGTTTTTGCTGTTTTGTTCAAATTTGAAAATTCTTACATATAAGTATTCAAAAAAAAAAATTTGAATTACAATTACTCAAAAAAGGAACAGTTTGACTTAATTCTCAAAAACTGACGATAAAACGCAATTTCTGCGAAGCGATTATTTTCGTCAATAATTTCATTCTGCTTCTCGCAATTTAAAAAACAAACTAACAAAACAACACGCGAGTTCAATTAGCTCAATTGGTAAAAGTGCCATGTCTGGCGCTCATGCTATTGAGCAATGATCTGGTTCCAAGACTGTCCACCAAAAGCTAAAACACTATAATCCGACTCTGGTGTATGGTGAATTGCTTGCGTTTTCTCAAAAATAAGTGTTCCTGGCACTGCGTGGTGTGGTCTGGCATGGTGTACAGCTTGTGTGGCACAACAGTTCAGTCGCAACTAAGTAAAATACAAGACGTTAACAAAGTCTTTTTTTTAACAGTTTTATTTACAAAAGTAAAAAGGTTCATCCTAGCAATAAAATACTAATTTATGGATGGCCTCATGAACAGAATAAATCTCAACTAATTCAACAGAATTTACACATAACCAAGAATAAAGACAGAATTAAGAACAAAACAAAAAAATGACATCATCACAACGAACTTTCTTCTTCTTTCATGAACACCGTCGAATGGTTAAATGGATGTCTGTCAGTAATGTAGGCCAGAGGGATGAACCATTTGTAGCTGCGTGGTGACATACATTTGAATGATGTTGCTACATTAATTCAACTGTTTGCAAAGTCAATACTAAACAAAAATGAAACATTCAAAGAGCTGTTTACCGAACCAGCCAACTAAGTTAAATTAAATTATTTTTAGTGATGAAAATTTTGTTTTGTAACTTTGGTGTATTCTTGTCAATGTAAACAAAAAATGCATAAAAATTGAAAGACTTTTTTTTCAAGAATTATGAAAATCTCTTGAGTGAAAGATACATACAAGTCATTACTGTCAGCGTTGCTAAACTTGTGCTTGCTGATGTAGTGCCTCACGGCTGAGTTGAATAAGTGGGAGGTTATTGCCTTCTCCAACATTCGAAATATGCTGGCTGACTGGGAAGGTTAAAAGTCGATATTTTCATATGAATGCTTATTTAAATTTCGTGCAATTGTGCTTGTCTTTATTGTTGCACCAGTTAAAACAATTTATTCAAACTATAGAAAATGGTAAACTTCGGCTGTTTATTAAAATTAGATTTAATGAAAGTCTTTAATATTTAATTGGTGATATGATGGAAATGTTTTTCATATTTTTTTTATAAATCAACCAGCATGAAATCTGTCTGACAATTTATTTTTAACTTTTGTGGACCATTCCAAAATTTATTATTTCTTTTTTTGAAAATTCAGTCAATAACATAAAGTAACAACGGTAATTTAAGGTACATAAGATACATTGAAAAATTACACATTCAAGTAAACGTTATAATAAGAAGAAACCTTAGTGGTTAAAATGGAGTCAGAAGTATACATGCACTCTTCAGGAACGATAATGGGATGAGACGAATCTTTAGAATCTTCAATTAAGGCTTTGAACATGATAGTCTTCATAATTCTTCCCAACTTCAAATAATTAAAAATTTCGTTAGATTTAATTCCCAATGTAAAAACCTTTTATTTTTGAATATTTATTACTTTGTTGTATAACAACTAATAGTTGTCGGTTAATATTAAAATAAAATTGGTTAAAAATGGTTGACGAGTTTTGCATCTTATCTGTATTTAAAGCAAAATAATATTGTTATCATAAAATGAAAAGAAAAACGAATTACAGAAAATATATTTTTGATTATAAGATTTTCACATAAACCAAATACAAATACTTTGTTCTAAAATGGGGAAAATGGTTAAGAAGTGAAAGCCAATTGAAATTTTAGTTAAATTTTAACTCACTCCAAGCCACTCTGATAAAGTATGTCTAACTGCAATTTCTTCAGCTAGGTGGACAATTCCTTCCTTCAACCGCAAATCATTCCAGCAATCTAATGTCACCAAGTTTCCAAGCCACTATTCAGTTAAAACATTTAAACTTATAAATTTCAATTTTAAGCACTAATGTAAAAAAATCTTTCAAAATAAATAAATTTTTTTTTAAATTTAAAATAATTTCCGGAATCGGAAACCGATAAAAAATATCCGACTCCGGTTCCTCAAAAACTCCGACTCCAACTCCCAATCCGGCAAAAATCTCCAACTCCGATTGACTCATAGGTACACTCTGTTACTAACTACAAAACATTATTCTACTAAATATTTTAAGAGCCTATTCCATTCTAAAGCATCGAGTGTAACAATGAACTTATTTCATTAATAGTTTGTCTGAAAAGTCACATTACTTTTATTTGTGGAACCCTCAATATTTTAGAACTTTAATTTGATTCTTCCGTATCAACACTTTGTTTGATGAATGGGTATCTGGGCCGGGAAGATACAAATTTCAATGAAAATATAGATAAGAAAGAGTTGAAGTTCCTTACTTGGTGAGCTACTTTGTGTGCTACAGCTATCGCTATATTGTTTTTTTGGAGTTTAGAACTTGTATTTGTATTGTGAAGAAACCGTCTTAAATGGCGAGAGATGAGGCCCAAATTCTCCACATCTAAATAGGCAAAGCTCGTGATTGGATAGCTGTCTGTAAGGGCGAATAATCATATCAACCATTCAACAACGTTTAATTATTTAAAATTGAAAACCAAATGGTTTCATTTATTTCGAACCAATTTTTTAAAACGATATGGTTTAATTTTATTTTAGTTTGACAAAACTCCATGTTTTGTCAAAGAACACTTTATAAACGCTAAAACAGTAATAAAAAAAGAAACCGTGAAAATATTGTAATACACTTCAAATTTTGCCGTTCTTTTTTAATTTAGAAACAAACCAAGTTTCTTCAGAGGGTAGTTGACACCAAAAAAATTTTCGAAAAAGTCCAAAATTTCGACAGTGATATCAAGCACGAAGTTGACTTTATCTATATTTTCAGCTGGAGAGAACACCGAGACCTGGCGTGTGACGTAGGATTATCATGTTATAAAAGTATGGTAAGGTCGACAAAAATGTTTGCTTTAATTAATAGTTGCCTAGTTTATTCTTTTTTTTATTTGCCTAATTTATTCTTCCTAACTTTTTGTGAAATTTTTAATTATTCGCATTTGACGCTGAATGACTGATAATGCATTTAAATATTTGCTATTTGATTCTAGTTAAGTCTCGTGTGAAAGTAAAGTAATATCTCACAATCAACCATCAATACTTTGCAACAAGGTTATCATACAATTCATTTTTCTATTCATTGTCAAATGTTCTGTAATTATGATTGGCCATAAATTTGTATGCTATTGCCACAAAAATGTTAAGTTTGGTTTGAGAAATTGTAGTTTATAAATGTTTTCATATAATTATTCATAAAAATGTGATTGACTTGTTGGCTATGATGAATGAATTCAAAACATTTTGTTCCAGTTTTCAAAATTTGTATCGACCTCCTCAACAAATTTTTAGAAAGTCATCATAAAAAATATTTTTATTTAAAACAGATTGAAGCAACTAACATTAACTCCACTCCTACTCAACTTGGATTTGGACTTGAAGTCGCACACGACGAACCCCACCAAGTACGTGCTCATCTTGACTGTCGTCGCGAATACGTCCATCGTTTCCGTGTCAGATACTTCCAACTCAGCCACCTGCAAATACAACATCGTCAGTTGAACGAGTGTAATTTGGTGGAAATCTTTCTTGCATTAACTTCTTGTTACGACTCTCTCTAATATTTCTCAGAAAAACACACAACGTATGTAAGTACGCCTGACTCAACACATTGAACATTTATTACTATCAATAGTTACTGTAAAAAATGTGCTAGGTATCTTAATTTCAAAAGAATCAAGAAGTGTGAAAGTAGTATAGATTATTCTATAGTATAGAATGTGGTTATGTAGATATGGTAGCCGAATGCAATATAAAGCTGCGGGTTAATAGAGGAGCTAAATGGCTTTTTAAATTCTTGGTTTTAGTCTCGTGGTTTTAATCGCTTAGTTCAGGGCTCTTGGTTTTTAATCTGTTCGTTCAGTCTTTGTTAGTGTGCTGTTTAATTTTAATACATAGCGGTTGAGAACACTATTATTATTACAATCTTATATATATTGCCAGAAGTTTGATTTTTATCGTTATGGTTTTTATTTAATAAAAGAAGTATATTCTTGAAATCTAGTTCGGCTTAATTAATTTACTAGAAACCATGAATGCTGAAAAAGACTCATGAAAATGTAACGTATATTTTACACTAGAGTTTTAGATGATTTTAGATGACCGCGACGTGGTTTCGAACCGCGGAAACAACCTCATCGGCGGTTTCAGATCAAAAATTCGCATAAACCTCGCGGATATTGCAGTTTTTGGAATTTTTACCTCTGCAGTTTGCAGATTCCAGTACGTTATTCAGATAAACCGCCAAATTAAATTTTGAATAATCAAAAAATGCTAAAATTTTCAGAATAAAACAATTTTATTTTTTGACTTCATCTAAAAAGTAACGTGTTTATAAAGTTATATTTGTATTTCCATTTTATCGTTGATTTGTGTCCGTCATTTCAGCATGTGTTATTTTCATTATTGAATTAGAAATTTATTGAGTTAAAACAAAGATTTCTTTTCATCAAATTAACACGATCGATCATGTCGTCTCATTAGAAGTTCAAACTCAAATCGAGGCAAACAACCAGTAAACTTTACTGCAGGCAGTAAGGTTCGGCTTCCATAGAGAAAACGTAGAATGTGTAAGAACCCCAAACTATATAGATAGAAAATACATAGGTCCGTTCATTATTGCAGGAAATCAACAAACGAACAATCCAAACTAGATTAATAAATACTAAAGATTAAGAACCAAAAAGTACTTTACTGTTTCGTATTGGTTCTGTGTATCGTTTCGTTTTTTATTCACAAACTTATTATTAATAACAGTTGAAAACTTTTTCGTCAGGCAAGAAGATTGCGCCAACTTTGCCATTAATATCAATTTTCCGCCAACAAATATTTGTTGAATTTGACAATAATTAAGTTCCAGTATAAAATTATGCACTGATAACTTAGTGAGTTGGTCGTTGAGTTATTTTGATTCGTTAGCTGAAGAGGTTAAAAGAATTCGTATTAGTCAGAGTGATTTGGCTAAAGGGAATAAAAGATAAACATTAAGAAAGGTTATGTTTGACTTCATTGTTTCATTTCATTAACTTTTATACTTTTTTATCAATTGCGATATTACCGCCAATTCCTTTCGTAAGAAATAGCAATTGAATACAACCTACAACCAAGCTAACACTCAAACTCAATAAACTATAACGTATTATCAGTGTTGGAAACGTTAAAACAATATCCAGTGGCGGATCTAGAGGGCCGCTGCCCCCGTTGTGAATGTTATTTGTGTTAAAAGTTAGTAAAACTAGTTATTTTAAAGAGAAAAGTGGTGTTTTTGAAGGAAAAATGGACACTACAAGCCCAAAAGAATGGTAGTTAAACTTTTAACCACATTACCAGAAAAGTTGGCTCCGTCAAAATATTTGTGCCCTCGGTGAACATTGAATTCCTTTCGGTCATCAAACTCTTTTTACTGAAAATACCCCCTTCCGGTCGTCAACAAATTTTTTGAAAGTTGTCTAAACCCGCCACTGTATATATTATAATTAAACAGTATATTAGCATTCAGAAAGCTTTGGTTGGAAGAGGTCATGACTTGAGACATTATATGATAACAAGATGGGTTTCCCAGTTTGAAATGCTGCAATCACTGAAAAAAGCGTTCTCTGAGTTGAACAACTTGCCGCAAAACAGCCAAAACAGAAGTAGTCTCTGCTTGTTGGAAACCTCTTTTGTTGGGCCATCTCATTTAAGTCCTTGAACCATTAAAATTGGCAACAAAACTGTTTTCACAGTGCAGTGTGAAATACTATTTTAAATTAAAAAAAAATATTAAAGCTTCGATGAAAATTTAAATACTTAATGATTTAGATGCATTTTCTAAAAACAGTAATTTCAAATAAGAATGTAGTTATACAATTAAAATTCTAGATTGCCTTCTAGTGTTACTGTTATCTAATTTTAAACGTAAAATTATGATGGCCGATTTAGGCAGCTTTTCGCGGATGCCATTCGGTGCGGTGCGGTGCGCTTGGTTGCGGGCGTGAGTTTGGCGGACAACTTGAAAATTAAACAAAATTATTAAACACCGTTTTTCTCGCTAAATTTTTTCAAAATTTTCTAAAACAATTTGTTAATCTCAATATTGAAACTCTGAACGATAAGCAGGCTTAGTTCTTCGGCTTATAATTATATATATATATATATATATATATATATATATATATATATATATATATATATATATATATATATATATATATATATATATATATATATATATATATATATATATAT